GGGGCTGGGGGCCCCGCGTGAGGCTGAGTGTGAAGGCGAAGGTCGGCGTGGCAGCTGCCGGTGCCCGGAAGGTGAACTTCTGCAGGAGGGCTGTGAAGAAGATGAAGAGCTCCGTCCTGGCGAGCTGCTCCCCGGGACAAGCCCGCTTGCCTGGAAAAGGAGCAAAAATAACCCCACCAAGTCCTGACTGAGCTTCAGCCACCTCTCAGGCTCCTCTCGCACACGCTGCCTTGCACAGCCTGCAGGAGCTTTTCTTCCTTGAAAGGTTAGGTGGCAATGTTCACCCACACATTTTGCAGAAACCTTCCCCAGAAGTTTACTGCTGAGCAAAATGTGATGGCTGTTTGGATAAGCAAAGAGGGGAAACTCAGTGAAAAAAAACCATTTACACAGCTTGTGCAAGAGGAAAAAACCTTATTTTTTTTCATCCTGTGATAACAAATTGAGTTCCCTCCTGCTCTGAGCAGTCAGTATTAACTGTTACTGGGATTTTCACTGTGGGGATGGGCTGAAAGCTGGACAAGGAGCAGTATCCTCTACTTTGGAGGGGGTGTCTTGGGGAAAATAAAAAGCATTGTAAAAAGGAAAACCATCTCCCCATCCATCATCCTACCTGCAGAGAAGGGCAGAAAAGCCTCCCGCCTCCTGTACTGGCCGTTTTCCAGGAAATGTTCAGGATTAAAGGTGTCTGGCGTCTCCCACACATTTTTGTCAAACATTATCGAAGTCAGGCTGGTCATCAGAGTGGTGCCCTGCAAGAGGTGGAGAAAATGGGTGACTATGTGATGGAGAAGAGCTGACGGGTTGTCAGACTAGTTTATTATTAGCTCTGTTCCACACACAATATTAACTGCATTTTTTTTTAAGGGCAAAATGTTTTTTCCTAAGCTATGTAATTAAATGAGGGTGAAAGCCTACAGGATTGTTCACTTCTGCATGCCTCTATATATCACCATAGTGTTGATCTGTACCTTGTGCTGCTGTCACTTGTGATGTTAATATAAACCAACTTTAAATTGATAAACTGTGCGAATTTTGTTACCATAGGAATTTAAAAAAAATTAACCAAATAATTTTCAATTGATCTACTTTATTGTGCTTTTTTTTTTAAAAAAAAAAACCTGATCTGGTTTGCCTCCACATCCTCTATCAGAAAAAGAAAAATATTCTAATCAGTGTGGAGCAGAATGCCTAGATTTTTTATTTTTAATTTCCCTTGACACAACCAGTCATAGACATGAAAGAGACTCTTTATAGCTAAATCTCATATTTGCATTCATAATTGCAGAACAGTGTATACTCATCAATACCTATTACCTGGCTTTTATCAAGTGCTAATGTTAATAGATGATTTTTAATACTCTGTGGAATTAACAAACCCAAACTTTTGCTTTCCTATGTTTCTTGGCCCTCTATTCCCATAATGCCTAGAGGGCATCTTTTATAACATTTAAGGGGTAAACCTTTTAAAATTTAAAAT